AATAACTTAATCTATCAGACGGTAGCCTTTTAATGCTTATTAAAGACTCGTCTCTACCATCAATTTCCGATTCTAATCTTCAAACAAGCTTTTATAGGTAGGTAGGCAACCAGTCGGGCGAATTATGATTTCATAGAAATCTATCTATTCTACAAGTATTCATGCATGCAAGCCATCAATATCTACCTACCTACCTACCTACCTACCTCAATCTCAATCTCATAATCACATTCTCAACAACTCAAACCCTCTCTACCCGCATCACTCACCACTCTAAAAGACTGATTCAGTTCAGTGAGATATGCATGTGAAAAATGAAACTAAAAGATCCATTATTATACCACATAGGCACCACAACTACTATTAAATATCCTAGGAATATGGAGGTACAAGAATACAGCTTTAAATATAGGCAAGCATATATAATGTACGATTCTCAGATATCAAAGAGCAGATGGAGAGATTTGCTTAAATATTCATATCTACTACTCACTATTATCAATACATCAATTCTCTACACGATGCATACCTACTTTCCGTAACATTCCGGTCCAGGATGACTGGTATTCGCCGACTGACTCATTCCATTTGTAACATGTAACATAACAGTTATACTATTTCAACATCTTCCCAAATAAAATAAAAAACCCGATCCCCGAAATCCCCCAAATCCCACAAATAACCCAGCCAAAACCTTTAATCCATTACCACCCCCCTTTACCTCCCCGCCCACTACAACTTCTCCTTCCCCTCTCCCACCAACTCTACTCCCGCACCACCAATACACAACTTCCCTGTCTCCTTAACTTTTGTTTGGAAAACCACTCTGTTGTCCCCCTCCTTCCACATTTCCGTGACCAATGTTTGGCCTGGGATGACTGTGCCCGCGAAGCGGACTTTGATATTTTTGTAGGGACCAAATCTATTTATAATCAGCGAGGGATGTAAAGGTTATGCAGGTAAAGGAAGGGAGAGGAGCAGGATGAGATGAATGAAGGGGAAATAAAGAGGAAACAGAATTCCTACTTTTGATAAACCGCTTTCCCAGCGATTCCCATGAAACAAAGACCATGAAGAATAGGCGCTTTGAAACCTCCCACCGCTGCGAAAGCTGGATCAACGTGAAGAGGGTTATACTATTCCCGTTAGCAATTTACTCGTTCTCTAGCAATCAAGAACTCACATCACCACTCAACCGATAGATTACAGCCTGTTCCTCCGTAGTCTTTTCCTCTACCACCACATCCGGACTTCTCTCAGGGACTTTATTCGCTCTTGTACTATTTCCTCTATCTGCTCCTTTTCTGTCGCCTCCGAAACCTCCACAACCTCTTAGGAAAACGGTCTGTTCGTTGTAGAATACTTTTCTTCCTGTTTCTTTTTCTGTCGTGGTTGTTCCTACTTTGACGACAGCGGCGCTTCCTTTATCGACTACCTCGAGGAGTTTTGGTGAGGAGATGAGAGTACCAGAGGTAGGAATGGGGTAGGAAGCAATCTCGAGATATTGTTCGCCGTGAAGAAGCATCATGGGGGAGAAATTGGGTACAATATCGTCAAAAGAAAAGGGGGCTTCAGCATTGAATGGTGGGATGACACCAAAAGTTGGGAGAGGTTGGAACTTTTCATCTCCTTCACTGCACTTCGATTAGTCGAGTTTAGTGTGAAAGAATTGGAGACCTTACAAAACAAGAGACAATTCGGATTTTTTTGCACCAACTCCAAGGTTGTATAGCATTACATCCCGTTCCTCAAACGTAAACTCACTTCCTCTTGCTTCGGCTTTCTTAGCTGCGGCAATTTTATCAAGGATTTCTTGATTCACTTCAACCTTTTTCTCGGTTTTCTGTAACAGAAGATTTTGTTAACGGATATCTTGATTGATTGACTATAATATACACAATGCTCATTCTAAACATGGGGAGAAGGTTCATACCTTGCTTGCACCCTTCTTATTTTGCATGTTTGCCATAATACTCTTCAAACCATCTTGACTATCCTCAGGGTTATCCGATTGTCCATCATCAAAGTTGGTAATTTTCTCCCAGTTCTTCAAGACTTCCTCGGGGGTAAGCTTGACATCGACTGGAAAACCATGGCCACCAGTTCGTTGCCATCTTGTTCGTCCAACCCATCCACTACCAACTTCGAAAAGACCTCCAGTTGGTGGTTTTGGAACTTTGTCGCTACAAAGGGCAACGACTAGTGGCGCTACGTAGTCTGGTTTGAATGCTTGAACCATCTCTTCTGGCATGATGGTTCTGGTCATTGCGGTACCAGCATTTGGTGCAATTGTGTTAACGTAGATATTGTATTTTGCACCTTCGCGAGCGAGAGCACGAGAGAACCCGAGAATACCACATTTCTTTGAAAGTCAGCAGAAGTCTCCCAAATCAAGGTCTTAAACTTACAGCAGCAGCATAATTGGATTGTCCAAAGTTACCATAAATACCACTGGTAGATGTGGTATTTACTACACGACCATACTTTTGTTTCAGGAAGTATGGCCATGCAGCCTTGGTAACTTTGTAAGTACCTCTGAGATGAACAGCGATAACTTGATCCCACATCTTATCATCCATATTGGTGAAAGCTTTGTCACGGAGGATACCAGCATTGTTGATAATGATATCGATGCGTCCGAAAGCATCAATTGCAGCCTTAACGACAGCATCTCCATCTTCTGCAGATGCCTTGACACCGACAGCTTTTCCGCCAAGCTTTTGGATTTCTTGAACAACATCATCTGGGTTCATCAAATCATTGACAACAACTGAGGCACCATATTTGGCGAACGCTAAGCAGTAGCATCGACCGATACTAATAAAATTAGCTTAATTTTTCAAGAAGATGAAACTTTCAACACTTACCCAGCACCACCGCCAGTGACTAAAGCGACCTTGCCCTTGAAATCAAGAGTCTCTCCTTGCTCATTTGGACCCATCTTCATTGACTTCTCAAGGAGACCCATGAAATCCGCAGGACCGGAAGGATGTTCGGCATCCTTAAAGTTACTGATTTGATCCCATTTTTTCAGGATAGCTTCTGGGGTATATGAATCATCTGCTTTAAGCAATAAACCGCTTGAGCGTTCCCATCGAAGCTTAGCAACATGTCCACCACCAACTTCGAAAATTGAACCATTCTCTTGAGCATCCTTGTGTACCAAAACAGCCACAAGAGGAATTACCCAATCCGGTTTTAAGTTATCGAGAATCTCGGGAGGCATGACAGTTTCGGTCATACGACTAGCAGCTATTATTCATTAGGTTAGATACCAACCGAAATATCAGGAGTCATAGATAACGTACCAATAGGAGCAATAACATTAGCATGAATATTATACTTCGCACCTTCCTTCGCCAAAGTTTCCGTGAACCCGACCATAGCCAATTTAGCTGCAGAGTAGTTCGTTTGACCGAAGCTTCCAAACAAACCCGCCGCACTTGCAGTATTGATCACTCTTCCATACTTTTGTTTTCTGAAATGTGGCCATGCTGCTCTCGCGCATTTATACGATCCCTTTACATGAACATCGATGATCAAATCCCAATCTTTATCTTGCATATTCTTGAATGAGATATCGCGAAGGATACCGGCATTGTTGATTAAGACATCAATGCGGCCATAAGTTTTGATGGCAGTTTCGATGATCTTTTCGCCCTCTGTGACGCTGTCGTAATTCGCTACTGCCTTTCCCCCTGCGGCTATGATTTCGTTGACTACAACATCTGCGGCCTGTTGATGATGTTAGTTATATTCAGGAATGTAAGAGGCTAATGGGTGACTAGACAGAATATATACCTTTGTAGAATTACCCTCGCCCTTGAACGATCCTCCAAGATCATTCACAACTACACTTGCACCTCTTGAACCAAAGAAAAGAGCATATGCCCTTCCCAGCCCACCGCCAGCTCCCGTCACAACGACAACTTGGCCATCATAGCGTAGCTCTGACATGGTTGCTTGTATGTTATCTGTGGTCCTTAATTGTTCGACTGTTTATCAGAGGAACTGATAAAATAGATAGATATGAACGTAGAGAAGACTGAATATAAGATGAAGAAAAAAACAGTTGGAAATGGAGATGTTAGATGCAATTGATGTTTTTAAGCACAATAGAAGAAGGCTTGATCGCTTTATTTGAATCTCATCCCTCAAAAATAACCTCGGTAACTCGAAAAATACCAAAACACGGAAAAGTCTAAAATCAGTGAAAAGCACTATTTTATAAAATCGAGAATTAAAACAAAACGTTATGTCAAAATGAGTAAAAAGTAGCTGATATATAGATTCAAGAGCTGCTGATATTTTGGTTCAATTCATTGCTTAAATTAATGATTTTTCGATTTAATATAGAATTTTGAAAATGAAGGTGTCTTTTTATATCCTCGGTTTTCTATTCGGCTGGATCTCTCGGTACACGCTTATGCTTGAAGCTCTGATCCCATGACTCCACATCTCTGGGGTATTCAACGGCAGCTGCACGCGGTGTGATGATGGATCTTTTATTTAAGTTATATTTTTCACATGCAAATCTTCACTGAAACCAATCTCCTTTTCTTTAACTGGTGAATCTTACTTGATTAGTAAGCGAGAAGGAGATGTGAAACTTGGAAGGTTGATAAAGCAATAACACTGGTAGAATTGCAGAACAGATTGATTGACAGTCTACACGTAGGAGTGAGAGAAAAAGGAGGATAAAATTGGTTACTCCAATAAATTCGGTAACTGATCGATCACAAATGGGATTATAAGAATTAACAATATCAAACAAATCCGAAATGGAACAATTAGATTGTTGAAGGGCCTCGCTAGTGATCCATTCCGGTCTGTTTTTTCTCCTGCGAACAGATAGTCCATCGATAATTGTACTAAAACCCCGCTGAAGGAGGACTACCTAAGGCATGTCATAGATTTTTCCCCAGAAAGAACCGAAGGGTTCCGGTGGTTCGAAACTTTTCTATCTCCGATGCCTGCCATGATAGGCTGGCAAACGGGCGCTAGGTTACACTCTGGATGAGATTTCGAAATTTTCTCCCACCCATAATCATCCCTCCATTCTCGTTCCCATACACCAATCCTTTCTTGTTTTCGGCCAAGATTTCGCCCATAACATTGACTTCGCTTTCGTCAATATCAAGATCAATGATAATGGTTTTGACCGGTGGAATGGCAGAGCCAATTGATACCCCATTCATAATTGTACCAAAACCCCGCTTAAGGAGGACAATGTCATAGATTTTCCCTAACCACTCCCCTCGTTTCACATGGTCTTTTTCTGGAAGGGTATTCAAAAACCGATGAACAGCGAAGCTGGTCGCCCTCAACACGGCGAAAGGGTGGTCATTCTCGAGACGGAATGGATTTGTCTTTCTATTGCATTCCAAATTCTCCCGTGAGCTATCGGGGCGGAAAAGCGATAGCATGGCCGCGATGTCGATATCCCGATTCATAACGGGTGTGCCGGTCAACAATATAAAGTTGCGGGGCGCCAAGCTGCTGAGCAGCTCATACTTTCCAGTACCCTCTCTCGTCCTTTAATGTGTGGGCCTCATCGATAATAACGGTATCGAACACTTCTTGAATACTAGGCTTGTTCAGACCTTTATGCATTGCTCTTAAACATTCAAAATTGGCGACAAAGATATGATTTTCGGGGTCTTTCAAGCTCTTGAGGCTTTCCTTGCTCAAGATAGGAGTTTTCTCTCCCGCACAGCACAAGTGCACTTGGTGTTCTTTCGGACAGAAAGTTTTCCACAACTCTTTTCCAAACATTTAGAACTGCAATTGGACCGACTACCAGGCTAGGCTTTGGTAGTCCAACATCATCGTTGCCCTTCTCTCTCTCATCATTCATGTGACATATGAGGCACAATACATGCAAAGTTCTTCCAAAACCCATATCATCTCCAAGGATACATCCTCCTATTTCTGCCGATTTATTTACCATCCATGATATAGCAGATGGCTGCCAGAAATTTAGAGTTATATTTGGGCCAAGCCCCTCAATCCATGGCTCGTTACTATCCTCAATGTCGAGCTGTCGACACGCCTCCTCCAAAGTTGGTGCTTTTTCTGCGTACTTGTTGAAGAATTATTTTTCTAGGCCATTCAATTCTTCTCGAAAAGAGTCACAGGCGCCGAAGCATTTGCAATTGATGTGCCAAAAGTATTTTCTCTGACGCTCTCTGTATCTTCAGGATTGCCTTAATTTTCAGTGGCTTCTAGGTTCTGCTCCAGACTTCTGTCAATGTGCCGAAACAGATCTTTGATTTCTTTTTCTGATCTCATAACTGCGTTGACTTTAGAAGAAGTAAATATTGTGGACATTGTTTCCAGTAAGTGAGGGCTGGCTATTTAGCTGGAATTGGAACAATGAGAGTTAATTGTCTATTCGGAATTGAAATAATAAGAGTCGATTGTCGACATGGATTTGTAACAATAAGGGCTATTTGTCTACTTGGAATCGAAACAATGATGCTGGTTGTCGACGTGGGCTGGTAAGTCAACATTTTCTTCGTTCTCTCCACCGAAATACCGAAGCATTTCCTTGATCAAACAGTCGATTATGTGTCTCCACGTCGTTTCTATTTTCTGTGCATGTCTTTCGCACCCGAAAGTAGCACAAAAGCCACCAGTACAATGTGCAATAACATCATTTTGATTCAGAAGGGAGATGGCGGGTGTATCTGATTGAGTTTGTAAGTTGTTGTTGTTGAGAGGATGATCATGCGAGGTGGGGAGGTTTTCGAGAATTGGAAATGTTCTAAAAAGATTGAACTCCCTTTCACTCACTGTCTTGCCCTCTTGTTGAATTTCAAATTTTCAACCTGGAACAACAATTCTTATCTGGCGCAATTGTATCATTCCTCAGTCGCATCCATTCTTTTACTTGTTGTTGGTATCACCTCGGTGGTGAGCATGACGTCTTCATAATAGGTTTGATGCGCTGATTGATATTGTGTCCGTTGTCTTCTCTTTATTGATGATATTCAGTGTTGAAAACTTGTATGCCTGTAGTATGGTCATGCGACCATATTAACATATTCACTATAACGACACTTATCAAACATAAATATCTTTGTTCTTAATATTTTACTCCATGATATTTACTCTATTTGAAGTTAGGATTCAGCGGCGAGAGAGCTGCGAAGGTGAGTTCTGATGTTGAAACATATATGTAAGTACCCGACCTCGCGAGTGGCAGAAACCACCGAACACCAAAAATCTACACCTTTATCACGATTTTATATATAAACAGCAATTCAAAAGAATGTTTTTAAATCTTTAACCATAATTATTATAAGCTTATAATCTCTATCAAAGAATTCAAAGGGATTTAAAATGTAAAACTAAATTGATATTGGATTTTGAAAAAGATTCATTTTCAGAATTTCGTTTATTTTGCGGGTTTGGTGTTCAGTTTTTTCTGTCACTCGTGAGCCGACTTCCTTCAAACAAGACCGCGACGAACAGAAAGAGAAAACGAATCGATAAAAGCAGAAGAGCCCACTCCTTCTAAGAGAAGGTATTCACCCGGCTTAAAATTGAGTTATATTTCAAATGGCTTCTATTATTTTCTCTAAGTTATGGCAGGATCTCACAAATAGTATCGTATCCTCCACCTCCACATGCAGACAAAACTACACGACTGATTCCTTAAACCAGAAAGCACGTATCTTGACCAATGTTTATAGCATCAAGAGGAATGCAATGATTGGGACACTGGCAGTCCTTCCTGAGAAGTTGAGACGTTGTCCTGAAAGCGTCATGGAGTCGAATTATGATGAATGGGTTATCAGACAAGACTTGAAACGACAAATTGGGGAGAAACGGAGTGGCATCCAAGAAATAAATTAAAGTTCACATGGTGCGATGAGCAAATTCATGATCGTTGATAAAGAGATCATTGATACAGAGATCATGAATTTTATATTGGAAACTAAGGAGGGAGAGGAAGAAATCGAGAAACTACGGGCATTCCTGACTCAAAGAATGAAGATCCCGGAACGTCAATTGGGGGTTTGATACTTTTCTTCACAAGCAATATCTGGATTCATCGAAATCGAGTGCACTCCATATCGCTCTCTCTCATTCTCTCTCAATTACATTGGCGTGGGCATGGGCATGGAGAAGACGTTAGGGAGACTGGTTTTGGATCGGTCATCACATTTTTATTATTTTTTAGAGGAAATGGGGATAGGAACATCATTTTTCATACAAAAGGGTGGAAGCGGGACCTTTTTATCACAACTATCATTATTGTATCGTCTATCTTTTTGAAAGATTAGTTCACAGGGAGGGAACTAAGTCATTTTCACGAATTAGCAAAAGGCGTTGATTGAGTTTGGTCGAGTAATCTCCAGTGTGTACTGACTCTTTCTTTCTTTTATTGCCTTTAAGTATGTACTGACTTTTTCTTCTCCTCCTGCCTTTCTATGTGTACTGACTCCTACTCCCTTCCAGTGTGTACTAGATTCCCTTTCTCCTATTCTCTCTGATCAGCACTAGGTATGTACCAACTTTCCCTTTCTCCTACTCCCTCTAATACTCATTCGTGTGTACCAACTTTTCATCTATCCCGATGCGCCTTATAAGTGTACTAACTTTTGATTTCTCCTACTGCCTCTAATCAATGTGTACTGACTTTTTATCCTATTCCCTCTCAGCATATACTGACTTTACCTTCTCCTATTCTTCTATATGTGTACCAACTTTCCCTTTTCTTACTGCCTCTAATCAGTGTGTACTAACTTCTCGTTTATGCTGATGCGCCTAAGTGTCGAGATGAGATAGTGAAAATTTCATGATAATTGGGAAACTGAAGAGTTAGTACACTATCCCCTAAACTACCAACTCATGGCGCCCAAATGGTTCATATAATATACCCTATATAAAGAAGTCTGATTAATTAGATTAAAGTTTTAATACGTTTTCAATCATTTTAGTTATAAAATAAAATTTTGATTTTAAATCTTGATTTTCTTAACATCATAAAAATAAGAAAGATTAAAAATCAATAGATATGATTATATTTAAAAATTTATAATAGAAATATTATAAAATGAATTTTATATTAAAGATTGAATATAAATATTTGATTAAATTTCGATAATCCTAATGATCTGGTTGGTTAATACGTCCCTGTTAAGCGAAAGCGCCTTCAGTTGACAGTCTAGGGGATACATGCTTATACTTGAAGCTCTGTGTCCATAGCTTCGCATTTCTGGATGATCGAACATGATGTGATGATGAGTCTTTCCTTTTCGTTTTTCATATACAAATATTCATTCTTCTCAGTTACTTGGTTCAATTTGACACACATAAGCACAATCGTATAGTCAGTGTAACGTTAGCTATAGATAGTATTTGCTTTTACTTGGTGGGCAGATGTTAAATGAATAAACCTATCATGTTATATGTTCTGAGTGAAATGAGAAGTGATATGAATGAATCCGTCAGTGAATACTGATCATCCTGGACCTGAATCTTACAAAAGATATGTATTGTGTGGATGATGGACAGTTGATATATTTATAATAGTGTAGACCTATCCAAGTAGTTTGATATTGATATCAAAGAGCTTGTGATATATGAGATGGGGATTCGAAAATAGTGTGTTTTGATTTGAGAATTTGAATTTGGGGTGATGAGTGGTTGTTTTTTGTGGGTGGGTGGATAGATGGACGAGTGGATGAGGGGTGCGGATTTCTAGGTAGGTAGATGGTGGGGGATTGAGGCAGTGAGAGACAACGTAAAAAAAGCAGGATAATAAAATAGTGAAATAATAACTTAAAGATAGTGAGATAATAAGGTAGTCAGATAATGAAGTAGTATGGTGATAAGAGATTGAATAAGGAAAGGGTAAGGGAGTAAAACAGTGAAAAGGTGAGAGAGTAAAGAAGTAAGGTTGTGAGATTGAATAGTGGGGCTGGATACTGAAAGTAAATGGATTGAGTGAAAATGATTTGTTAAATAGTAAAAAAATTGTTGACTTCTTGTATTGATTCTGTAGGAGCTGAGAGTATTATGAGGGGACTAGATAGGATCGGAGAGAATGAGACGGGGTGTGATGAAAAGAGAGGGAAATTTGGTGTGAGGAAGTGGTTGTTGTATGTATGTGAAGTAGTTTGAGGGGCTTGGGGTTATTTTTAGGGGAAGGTGTTTGGAAATAGAAGAGGAGAGGAATGGAATGGGAGACGTATTTGTTATTGATTGATGCGATTTATATGTAAATTGTGAGATGGGGAATGAGAAGTGAGACATAGGTAATATAGAGGGGAAATATAGATGACAAATGAGATAGGGAGTGAGAATTTTGAAGTAAACTAGATAAACTATAGGCGCTTAGGGAATGGTAATGATATAGGATATCGTTGTGTATGACTTTCCTTGGTTTGAGTTTGGGTGAAGGAAAGCAATACTTGTGGATGTAAATGTGCTGGGTGATGAG